TACAGAAAGAATGAAATTTAAACAGCCAAAAAGTTTTAATTGTGTTAAGTGATGAAGTGGGTGTCTCTAAAAATTAGCATCTGACCAGACCCTGATATTAGCCCCTTCAAATTGTCCGATATAAAATGATTATAATTTGTAGTAATGTCGCATTATATAAACTACCCATAGTTCTTTTTTTTTTCACAAAATAGCAACAGTCTGAAAAAAAAATACAACTTTTCTTTGATGTTCTCAATTTTTTTTTTTTAAATGGTAAAAAACGGAATTTGGTGATGAGCGTCGTTGATACTGATGAGAAGTCTATAAAGAAGACTTTGTACGAATTTCAAGACATTCGGTTCAGCAGAAGTTAAGAATTCGTAGGTATCGCAACAAAAAGGCGGATTTGAGAAAAGCGTTTTTAAATAGTTTCGTGGAGAAAGGAAACAGAGGAGGATTATCGTGATCAAGCAGCTATATATCCAAAAATAATTTGAATTTGAAAACCTTCTTGTACACATATTCTGAAAAGTAAAACTTAGAAAACATATCTTAGAATTAGATATCGATATCTTCTTTAAAGTCTAAAATAGAAGTAATTTCAAAATTTTTGATATTGTCACCATGGTTTTGATTTTTTATCATTTACGTCTCTCAGCACTGTTAATGGCATTACTAATCTGTCCATTGTCCGTAGTTTCCCTCTTGTAATAATCGTAACATCATGAGGCAGCACACGTTTCTAATAAGTACGCGACGCGCTTTTAAAAACAATTCCATAAATGGTTTCGTAACGGTATTTCTATAAAACAAACCATTAAGCGCGACCGTGCACCGTTTTTTCTACTTCTAATAAAAATAAAACGAAACTAATAATGCTTCCTTTCGATGATAAAATTAGTTAGTAAAAATCGTCTGCCGGTGATTACTATACGCTCGGTGGTTATAACGGATCCATATCGCACGACGAGGTATTTTTTAAATATACTTGCCAAAATACAATTTATGGTCTCTGGTAAATATTTTGGAAGTGAATACTCAAACATTGTTTGGCTGCTTATACCAAAACTCTCATTCTTTATCTATGGAAACTCTGGTCAATCTTCTTACGTGTCAAGAATAATTACATTGTTAATATAGTCCAGCAGCCTGTCTGCTACTATTCTTCTAGTACATCTGATTTAAAAGAGATATATAAATAATAAGTAATAATATTTTTTTTTTTTTTTATTTTACCACCAATCAGAACTTAAAGAGTTTCATGAGCTGCTATGCTCACTTCTTAAACAACGTGGTTTTATAGATGGCAATTCAAACGTGAATCTCTATGTGATTACTTTTAATTATTACAATTTCTGTAACATTGTTGACTTTTGCTGGATCAGGATTATTTTCGCTTGAAAACATGTTGCTATCTGGTAAATCTATTTTTCGATGTCACTACTACTTAACACCAGGCTGTCCCAGACAGGTATCAAATCTGCAACCTCTGACTGAAAGCCTTTAGCTTTAGCCACTATCCCTAAAATCACAGTGATTAGAACATTAGCAATACCAATACCCATAACTCATACCAATTTTTAAGTTGGTATGAGTTTATCAAATATATATATAACTTTACTGATCCATTACCTATTGTGTCCATCTGCCTTATTTATTTAATTTATTAAACAATTATCTTAAATTGTTCGAGCCCTTATAGTCCAGTCATTTGGTGCAAAAAAAGGCTGTTGCCGGTACAGTACTCCGGGAATTCTGAAAATTGGTAATCTTGTGGATTTCGAGGTGCTCTTTACGAAAATCAACTTTGCCACCTCAAATTTGAACGGCAAGTTGCCGCCATATTGGAAAAATGGCGTCAAAAAACAGCTTTTTTAAAATATCTCCTTTCTGGCTCATTCTACGATAAAAGTATTTATGTACGAATTAAACTAGAGAAAATTTCCTACAATTCCTTAGAAAACCGTTTTTTGTAAAATTGATAGTTTGAGAGTACGGCCGCCTCAAAGTCTTTGCTGCTCTCGCCGTAGTATCAAATCTGTCCATATATGACAGCACTTCGAACTTGACCACATTCTCTCTAATAATTAATATTTTCAATGTTAAATTAAGCGAATAAGATCTAGAAATAAAATAATTCAAATACTTTTTGTTTTTTTTTGCTAATTTTTTAACACTTCGATGGCAAAGTAGCTATAAGTATACTTATAGCTTGAGTAGCACCTTATAGCTTCAAGTAGCTTGAAGCGTTAAAAAATCAGCAAAAAACAGAAAAATATTTGAATTATTTTATTTCTAGATCTTATTCGCTTAATTTAACATTGAAAATATTATTTATTAGAGAGAATGTGGTCAAGTTCGAAGTGCTGTCATATATGGACAGATTTGATACTACGGCGAGAGCAGCAAAGACTTTGAGGCGGCCGTACTCTCAAACTATCAATTTTACAAAAAAACGGTTTTCTAAGGAATTGTAGGAAATTTTCTCTAGTTTAATTCGTACATATATACTTTTATCGTAGAATGAGCCAGAAAGGAGATATTTTAAAAAAGCTGTTTTTTGACGCCATTTTTTCAATATGGCGGCAACTTGCCGTTCAAATTTGAGGTGGCAAAGTTGATTTTCGTAAAGAGCACCTCGAAATCTATAAGATTACAAATTTTCAAAATTCCCGGAGTACTGTACCGGCAAAACGACCAAATGACTGGACTATTAAGTTGTTATAATAGAAGCATATTGAAAATAGTGGTTCAGTAATATTTTTTTATATCCAAGAAATATTATACCAATAGCCAGGAGAAGATAGCAAACATTTTGCATTTGGAGTCGATTATTTCTCTGGATGAAGTTTATTGTTAATGTTTATTTTTTTATTTTTATATAATGCAAAAAACATTCAGTAATTTTGATTACTATTGTTAGAGATAAGATTTTAAAATACTACCCAGTGGTAGTCTTTTCAAATTTGAAAATTGATGAGATGAAGAAGAAGTGAGAATTGATGAGAAAGAAATTACTCTTGTCTCTTCATCTCATAAATTTTCAAATTTAAAGTGACTACCACTAGTTAGGTTTTGAAATCTTATCTCTAACATTTGTCACCAAAATAATCATTTGCTTTTCCAGACTAGATTTTTTCAAATCTAGATTACATGTTAACTAGCTAAAACTAAAGGGTTTATTCTTTTGGGCCTTTTGGAGTTGTTTGGCGAAAGCAGGCCTTTAGCAAATTGATTTAAGTGTTTTTCCAATCTAGTCTTGTATTTAGATGCAAGTCTTCTGATTTCTTCTGTCCCCGAAAACAACTAGACACTTTATGGATAAACCAATTTGGGACATTTTGGGATGCCTCTAACATTAAAGTTAACATAATTGAAAATGAACGAAGACGTTAACTCGCAGTGTTTTCGAAAAGCTAATTTTCAAAAATCAATAATTTTCATAATTGGACCAGTTTCTATAGGACTTTCATGGTTTAGTATGTTCATTAAGGCCAAGTACACTTTCGCTATACCAAGTATGCTTGTATACAACAATTTATAAATCGTCTAACTTTAATTTTAACAAACTACTCATTTTCCTAAACTTTGATGAATTTTAAAATTAAACTACTTGTAGTAAGGCATTATTATTACAGTAAGTTCTATAAGACCATGATATATATCGCCAAAAAAAAGTTCCATAAAAATCGGCTTAATTTTTTTCAACAGTTAATTACAAGGAAATATCTTAGATCAGGCTTGTACACATAAAACCTAACTTACAAAATCTACAAATGTCAAATAACCATTTTACTGCAAGTGCAATTTTTTATGTCTTTTTGATAACACATACGTGAAGTTAGGTTTTATGTGTGAAAATCCTGATCGCACAGCAAATACATATATTTTTGATGGTTGTCACTACTAACTCATACAAATATAGATCCTCAAATAGCATTACCATACCATACTTATATTATCCGAGAATTGGCTCCTAAACCTAAATATAATTTAATAAAACCTCAGGGTATGATATTTATAGCCAAAACTGTTGTGCAAAACAATGTTCCAAGTTAAATATTTTATGAAGTATCTGCATGACATTCAAAATAAAATAAGTTTTTATAAAAAATATAAATATTTTTATAAAAACAATTTTTAATTTATTTTAATAACTTAATTTATCCTACACTTCCCAAAATATAATTAACATATAACATATAATAACAGTGCTTATCTCCATATATGCGACCATGAACAAAACCAGCATTTCTTCCTTAATTAAAAATTACAACAATGTACCAAATTAAAATTATAATTATTCCAAATTCGGTATGAATTTTATTTAATTGCCGGAAGTTACTTATTCGAATGTCATTGTTTCCAGCGATGGCGCTTTTCGAGCACGTGAATTTAGTCTATGGAACCGTCAGTGAATTCTGCACGATGAGTGGTTGCCCTGATATGACAGGACCAGGAACGAGGTAATGGAATGATAAGATATAATATTTAATATTTATATTTGATTAACACTTAAATTAACAGCATTACTTATCGTTTTATCATGTTGTATTCAGGAAGTACTGAAATCGATATAAAATGTAAAATATGTAAAACAGCTCTGGGTATTTCTACATGTGCAGTTTAAATTTGTAATTTATTGTATGAATTGTAATAATTGAATAAAATTAACATATTTGCTTAATTTTTATATACTTCCCCGAATTGCTAATTACAATTTGAAATAGTTTTTTTTAAATTTATACAATTAATAGTTTATAACCAGACTATAATTTACTTTCAATTGTTGAAATATTTGAAGCGAAATATTTGAGATATTTGATGCTAATAGTTGAAATATTTGATGCCATATATGCGTTTCTAGAATTGTATAAAATAAACTGTAAGAGAATTAATGAAATTTCACTGAACCATATATTCTACACATTACTGTTTATTTGTGTTAAATTAGTTCATTTTTTTCTATTATTATGTGTATACCGCCACGTAGTTTTAAAATTTATTAAAACTCTCCTTCGATAATTCAGGTTGTTGGATTATAATTTAACCCTTGTCGCTGTAGGTTGTATTAAACAATGATTTGTTTCTAGATTATGCATTTGTTTCAGTTCAAATTACAATCACTGATTTGTTACTAAGTTATAATGAAAGAAGATATATTTATTAGTTATTTATTTATTATACATGTTGTTTCGCGGACTTTACTTTTAGAAGTGAGTTAGTTATATCAAAACACTCCGCTACCCCCTCTACCAGGGGTAGCAACCATTCCGTGTAAAGCTTAATGCCCTGAAGATTGTCACCTTCATGGCCAACATAATAAACCGAAAAGACGTTCGAACATTATGATTGAGGCATTTACATTTTATATTTATATTTTAGGACATATTTGTGGTTTGATGAGAAAGGAAAGAAAACCAAAGTCCCTGCTCCTCAATATATAGATTTTGTGATGACATTTATCCAACGAAGTGTTGCTGATGAAGCTGTGTTTCCCACCAAATACGGAAGAGATTTTCCCACATCGTTTGAGGTAAGCTAATTGGCACCTAAAGTAAGATCTGGAAAATTATTTAAATTCAGTGGACAGATGAGCAATTCATTGTACATCAACCTATTGTCTTCAGTTTAGTTATTTCGTTATTTTTATTAATTTTATTGATGAGCAAATATTTTTTGATTGGTTTGATAGGTTTGCAACCATTTACGAATAGGTTAATATTAAGGTGACCATGCGTCCCGGTTTAGCCGGGACAGTCCCGAATTTCCACCTTGTGTCCCGGGTTTTTCTAAAAGCAATATTTGTCCTGGATTTAGATTTTTTGTCCCGGGTTGTCCCGGCTTTTATAAAATTAAAATTAAAAATTATGAAAGCAAACAAAGCGCTATTTTTTGCAAATTACAAAATTTCGTAATTATGAGAAAAATTTGATAGAATTTTAAATAAGGCTCAAAAGCTAACAACACAATATTGAAACAGAAGTCCGCAGTTTTGATTAATAAAAAATGATTCATATAAAAACTTTTTTTTCATTGTATCATTAAATAGTATTTGTTATTTTAAAGAGCCTCCCCCTCCGTCCCGGATTAGCATAACAAAAAATTGCCGTCCCGGTTTTGACTTAAAAAAATATGGTCACCTTAGTTAATATTGAATTACTATCAAGTTTATATTTGGAATTTTTATTATCAGATTCTTAATTAATACTTATATATTGATAAATAATTGATACTGATTCAATTTTTTTTTTTTTGAATCGCACGCCGGAGATCTTTGGATCGAGTTCAGATCGAATATTTTATTATAACACTGAATATAAAGATGGTAGAAATAATATAGAGATTAATGAATCAATTCTGGTGTAACATAGACCAATGCTATGTTACACCAGACCAAACGCAACCGCAACCAGCAAACGTTGCGTTTTTCATATAAAGTGGTACTAAATACTACTAAAAACTGTTAAAATGCTATGTATTTGCTGTGCGATCAGGCGTTTTACACTTAAAATCTAACTTGTCGCATGTATTATTATGACACATCAGAAAGATGCACTCATGATATTTATTTTGGCGTTTGTGCGTTTTCTAGGTTAGGTTTCATATCTAAAACGTCTGACTCCTCAGAAACTACATAGCATTTTGATGGTTTTTAACACCATTTATATGAAAAACGCAATGTAACATAGCCTTGCCATAACATCGGTCTATTTTACACCAAAATTAGCTAATTAATACTTATATTATTAAGCTAACTTATATTATTTCTACCATCATTATATTCAGTGTTATAATGAAATATATTAAATTACATAATAATAGACAGTATCAGGACTCGATCCAAAGATCTCCGGTGTGCGAGTCGAAAAAAAAGAATAAGTATCAAATATTTATCAATATATAAGTAGTAATTAAGAATCTGATAATAAATATTTGCATTTTACGTTGAAAATGTTACTTTTTGCATGTATTATTATGACAGATCAGAAAGTTTCACATATGATAAGATTTTTTTAACGTTTGTGCATTTTCTAAGTTAGGTTTTATATCTAAAACTCCTGACTCTACATCAACCACCTAGCATTTTGATAGTTTTTAGTACCATTTTATATGAAAAACGCAGCGTAACATAGCCTTTCCATAACATTGCTTTATTTTACGCCGGAATTGACCCATAAATTTGATTGGAGTTAATAGTGAAAATATCGAAAATGCTGAAAACTTATATAATATACATGTAATTAATTATGAGGCATGTAATATGTTATATGCAATAGTAAATAGGATATAAAAAAGTATCTAAATAATAAATAAAAGCTAAATGACCTATTGGATCGAGGCCAGTAATTAAAAAAAAAGTTTGTTCTGTTTCAAATTTACTAAATTAGAAATGAACGATTTGAAATTATATTATTTTATTTTATATATAATTTAATTTGTGATGCCATGAAATTCTTATCGATTATCCATAATTTAATCATTCTGATCTATCTTACTCCCTAGTGCCATTGGTGTGATTTTCATTATAATGTAACATTTATTTGTTATTGAAATTTTGCAAATTTTAGTAATGATAGACTGAAAAATTGCAATCATACTATCATTAAATTGATAGTGTAATTGTTGGATGTATAAAATTATATGAACAAGCGGCGACTTCAAGTTTCTGAAAAAAAATTCAACAACTTATTTTGAATTGATTGAAAGTGGAGAAGATAGCATAGAAGCTATATATATTTATTAAATTATAAAATTATTAAAATTGAATATAAATATATAGAATATTTGTTATATTCTTCATGTCAAATCTAATTTCAATTGCAACAATAGCTTTACTGCAATGATTTTAAATCGCTATCAAATTATAACTAATATATTGAAACTGCCCTTCTGCCTTCGGGCTATAAAGTTTAATTGGTACGAATAAATCTAGTTCACTACAATTTATTCCAGGTGATCTGTCGCAAAATCCTTCGGCTGCTGTTCCATGTTGTGGCGCACCTGTACGCTGCCCACTTCCGTGAGGTGGCCCTGCTCGGCCTGCACGCCCACCTCAATCTGACGTTTGCGCATCTCACGGCGTTGCACAGGTAATTCAATATTTCAATTCTAAACGTTTCCTCATCGCGGAGTACTTTATATTATGTAAAATCGTTATCAACGATGTAGAATTGATTAATATCATTTGAAGACATCGCTGATTGAATAAAATCTAATATTGGAATTGGTTTTTGATCGTTACGCTTTAACGATTTTATTCAATTTAAGGTGGTATTTTAGTCTAGAAGTTTTAAGAAATGATTTTTGTTTGTATTTGCAAAGTATAACTACAGTAGAACCTCGTTTATCCGGACCTCAGTTATATGGATTCGCGATTATCCGGACCGCGATTAATTAATATGTATGCAACTACAATTCGAATTTTTGCAGGAATAATGCAAAAAGTTTAGTATATATATGTAATGTAATCTAAGAAAATATATATGTACATACATAAAGGAGTTCCAATTTCTTAATAAACATTATTTTCGTTGATATCTGTGCATGTATTTGTTATTTTTAATAAATACACAACATTATTCTTTATTCATTCGATTATCCGGATTTTTGATTATCCGGATGCCTATGGACAATAATTAGTTCGGTTAATCGAGGTTCTACTGTATTCAAGAATATGTATACAAAAGAATTTTTAAAAATTTAAATTATTTATGGAGATAAACTGTTTGACCACGATAATCCTTCTCTATTAACTTCTTCCGCAAAATTTTGAACGAGATTTTCTTGAAAGTGTTTTTTTCGATACCATACCTTGAAAGTGTTTTTTTCGATACGATTTCTCAACACTACTGGACTAAATTATTTCAAGTTTTTACAGTCTTCATTATAGACTTTTCTTCAGTATGAACTGCACTTATACCCAAATTCCGAATTTTACTATTTTGAAAAATATCGAAAATATCAAGAAAAGTTTTATTTTACACTTGATATTATGTGATTTTTTTTAATTTGTTTGTAGTTCCTATTAATTGGACATTATTCCAGATTCATAATCTTTTCCTTTTTACCAGATTATTTAGAGTGCTAAAATCAGGGGTATCGTCACATGACAATTTTTCCATCATATGCTAGAATTAAAACTGACAATTTTCAATTTCAATTTTTTTTCTGTATCCTTAAAACATTAAATGATAACTTATAGAAAAATGAATAGTAAATTGTTTGCACTTTTTTTTACTGCCTTTCAGAAGTCACATAAAATTTACGTCTCTAGACTAGAAACCCCTCTTAATATTAACAAAATAGAATTGTATTTAAATGGAAGGACTTCTGTAAATTTTTATCCTTATTTTTGTTATCTTTAATAATTAGTAGCGCCAAAAGGTAAATAACAGTTTTGAGATTATAAAACATTTTAAGTATCCGTTACGAGCATATATTATAGATTAAATTTATTATAGATTCTGCTGATTATTTTGATTTGTTTTATTTTAACAATACCATTGTTATTACGAAAGGTTCCAATTATGACTTGTAATTAGATTGTTTTTGTTAGGTTTTATATTATGTTAATTTTATTAGTTTTTTATTAGCTTTTATTTTATTTTATTATGATGTAATTAGTATAAATATATTATATCAATTATTCAATGTGACTGACGTAATTGAGACTCCAGTATTTTTCCATATAAAAATGCTTTTATGTTATCTAAAATAAGAGAGATTTATATAAGTCGTGTTTGGACAATATTGCAAAATATCGAATAAAGTGTTTTTATATTTGAAGAGTTGGTAACAGAGTGGACTAATATTATATTATTTCTATTATATTCCTAAACGCTATAAAACCATGTAGAAAAATGTGCTATTTTTTAAAACGTTTGTTTATTATCTTTAATTAATTTACATACTACTTAGCATTTATTTTTGCATCATTTCACTTGTCTTTTTTATGATATAAATAAAATAGAAGTCCCATAGTTCACAATGAGTTTTCATGAAGCGTGAAACAACTTTAGAACCTTAGAGCCTTTTATAGACAGATGTAAATATTATGTTTATTCAAGTTTGACAACATTATTTAGTGAAAAGTTCATCGTATCCTCATCGTATCTCAGTTTGTGAGATGGTCCATTCTGGTTACCAACACCTCGTTTATAATCTAATTTCTTCAGCTTTTCATTTTAATAAATATATTACTACCAATTTGAAAAATAAATGTATGAGTATATTTTTAAATTTATGGAAACCATTTGTGCATGGAGTGCAATAAAATGTAATCCTGGGTATCAAAAATCATATATATCATATACATTTTAGACGCTGTTTTACGATTTATTTATACGTAGTTACTATTAATTACTACAATTATAATAATTGACTTCATTATAATTGATTATAATCATTATTATAATAATTGACTTCATCGTCTATTTACAAATAATAATATATGTATATAAAATCAATTGTACGTAAGAGAATAAAAACTAAGAACTAGGATCCAATGATGTTGTCACACGGTGTTGATATGGATTGTCAAAATAAAAACATAGAAAAAGAGGTTTATACAATTGTAGTTTCATCAGTCTATCGATAATGAAAAAGTGTATAATGAGGAACGTATAGCTTTATTCTAATAATGAAGTTGAAGTTAATTATCTTTAATATATTTAATTTCCTACCGTTTTTATTGTCAATATTCCTTTCATTTATCTATTTCCTTTCTCCAGGCGATTCAGTCTAATTGAAGCCAAAGAAACCGAAGTGCTGCGCGACTTAGAACTCGCCCTACGACTATCAGAAGACGCCAATTCAACGCCCAACAATAGTAGCGCGGCCACCACCAGCAACGACACACATGCTGCCGTTGGTGATGGCGTGTGTTCGAATCAAAAGTCAGGAACGTCGTCGACAACCGCTTCTCTGACGTGCATCAATGCCACCTGGGATGGACACCATCCTGCTTCGGGAGATGATGTCGTTTCTAATGAAAGATCGAACAGTGATGATTGTCCGACTTCTGCATAGTAGCAGGCTGATGGGTAGGTAGTAGATTTACAACCATCATGTTTTATCAGGCGATTTAGTACATACATTTATTTTAGTGTTCGTAATAGTTCGCAATAGTTAATAATGAGGGTTCGTCGTGGCGAAGGTCGTTAACGCGTTGACTTTGTATGGACAAGGTCGCGCGTTCGATTACCCGCTCTGGCAATCTGTCATCGGGCAGCGCGATGACTATTTTCAAGTGAAAATATAGATCAAAATACGTTTCCAATTGAAAATAAGCCCATCTCGGGCACTGCGGTGTGAAATGGAAATGGGAAAAACTCTCACACTACTTCTTCCCTGAATCGAGTTGGAATTTTAAGTCAGCTCATGGACCTGCCCTAGGGCAGTACACCCATTATTATTATTATTATTATCAATGAATATTCGTGATGATATCATATGAATACGTTGTAGGTTCTTTCTCTCTGAGTCCAAACTATCACAAACTGACAAATATTGACTAATAACAGTTACAAATTGACAGTTTTGCTCTGTATGCAATAGTTTGGGCTCGGAGGAAATGAAACCTGTAATTGATCCTCTTATCATTTATAATCCCTTACTTACTTCAGATTTTATGTAGAGAATATACTAAGGAGCCAATTCTTGGATAAAATAATTATGTTACGTTATATGTCTCTTTTATTGTATAAAAAGCTATATTTTGGCTGTTCGATTGATCGTTCTACACTAAGTCTACTTTTAAAACTGTAACCCTCAAATGGCACAAACGTCAGAGAATACCTTTGTTCGACTTCACGCGTGTGTTATCAGGAGCAACACAAAATATTGATTGATTATGATAATATTGTTATTTAACATTTGTGCCATTTGGAGGTTAGGTATTAAAAATAGAATAGTGTAAAAGGTTCGATCGAACAGCACAGACATAGCTTTTTGAAAGTTATTTACTACCAATGATATTACTCAAGATGGTATTTACCAAAAGAGACCTGTAACATAGCATAATTAAGTTGTCCCGAAAATTGCCCCCATAATCCTCAAAAGCATGTTTTGATGAATAGAAATTTGTGTTAAGTATTTGTTCTCAAGAGTTTTATTATACCTGAACGAAAATTTCTCAAACATTATATTTTCAACATATATCAATAATAAATAGATTAAAATCCTTATCAAATGGTTTGAAACATGGGAATAAATGCATATGAAGGAATGAATAATGATTCACTGATTAAATATATCAACTAGTGGCATCGTGCCTTAAGGCAAATTGCTGGAACTTTCCGTACCAGAATTATATATTCGACGAAAAAAATTAGTAATCAATAAAAATTGATCAATGATTTACAATAATTGTTTTATAAATTTTCAAATAGATAATTATAATCATTATATATTTTATCGTTCATAAAATATACAGTGAGGATCTTATCGCTCAAAGCACTTGAGAAAGTTTACATTAGCAGGAGGTGAATGAATGAATCCATCTGAGGATATATTTATTACGTTTGGAATAACGCATTTGAAATATATAGATTTTGAAACTGAAATGTAAAGTATAAAACTTTGTATAGTTTTAAAAATTTTGAATTTTTTTTTCTTAAATTTTTGATATTTGCTTGAACCGTATAAGTATACTTTAAAAATTAAAAATCTTGGTACGGAACCCAACAAAATTGTAACAAAAAAATTAATACTCATTTTTAAAAACTTCATCAGATGTCTGATAATTTGATGTGCATACGTCTAATGTTCATTTTTGACCATCAAAAATTTTTTTTTACTTTTTCCTATATATCTCCGAAACCGCTAGACCTGCCTTACCAAAAATTTTATCAATTATTTATTTAAAATGTTTTTCTGAATCATCCAAATCGAGTACCCTTTTTTCTCAAAAACCGAATTACAGTTGTTGGCACTTTTTGCCAACTTCGAAACGGCTAAACCCGTTTTCACCACTAATTAATCAGCACGTCTTCATATCAATAGAAATCGAATGTGTTTTTAACAATTCAAATCGGTTGATTTGTGCGCCCGAAATCGTGGACGAAAAATTGTATCAAAACATACATACATACTACACACACACACACACACATCCATTTTTTTTGGTATGCCAAAATGTTCAGAATCCTTTGAAACGTATGTTTACGTTTGCAAAATTTATTTGGTAATTCGTTATGAATTATATTATCATTTGAGTATTTATCAAATTTGATTATAAGTAAAGTTAAGGGAGTAGAACAAATTTTATTTAAAAATTGGAGGACCCTGGTACAAAACACAAAACTTCAGAAACTACTGTTGGAAACTTTTACTCCGTATATTTATCTTTTAATTTTTATATTATATTTTTGAATGAACTGCGAACTTTTATCACCATTTTGTCAAACATTTACATATCTGGTTTTAAATAAAAAAAAGACAAATTATAATTTCTTGTAGTAAATGTGAGATGTTTCATACATTTGTATCCCTGTCGCTTTATCTTCGGTTGAAAACGACACCTGGCCATAATCAATGTTTGCTGTAAGCCCGGCTAGCTCAGTCGGTAGAGCATGAGACTCTTAATCTCAGGGTCGTGGGTTCGAGCCCCACGTTGGGCGAAATTTTTTTTTGCATTTGGCTTAACGAATACTCGTGCCTAAAGTTCCTTTACATTTTACAAATTTTATTTTGTATAAAAAATTAAATAGTATAATTATTGTTTGCCATGCGACCAAGAGAATAGACGTTAAGTAGCAATGAAATTCTTTGATTAACCTTTACTCGGTTTTAATGATGAATTAAATGTTTATTGTTTTATACATATACAGTATCCACTATGGCAAACGATTTACTTTTATAATTATGATTTTACCTTATAAAAATTTTAATATTGTGATTATTTATTCTTGTAGGTTGCGACAGCTGATTAACATCATTGCTAATTCGGCAGAATGTTGTGGACATTTTCGTATCGCCTGAGAAATTTTCTGTGTGGTCTCACTAAAGATATAAATCAAAATCATATAGCAGTTTCATTAAAACAATAAGTGATTTGTTACATTATACAGGATAAAAGATGGACTGATGAATTGGTACAATTTGTTGTACAATTACTAAGGTACTAGTTACCTTAATTTGATATATTGAGGTTGTTTTTAATTTTCATTTGTATGTAGTATTTATTTAAAAATCTTTGATAGTGTACAAGAGTGGCAGAGTTAATTTTAGTTTAGTGGACTGGTTTTGTTGCTAGACATATTAGTGGAGATAATTGATTTTATTAGTATATCGAATTTTATTTAGCAAATTAACAATTAGTAGTTTTAAAATAAAAACATATTTTATAACATTAGATTTGCTGCTGTACAAAAAACCGTGATGATATATACCTTAAATTCATCAAATATGTTTGGCAACAATATTTCGATTTTAATGTTATATTTTATCTCACAATTTTTTAATGACCAGTGATGCACTCGGGACTGGAGGTCTGTGATCATGTCAATGTTTGAATTTAAAAAATATGTAACACAAGTCTTGTTTGTATCATTGTAATTTGTATATAGTTTATTTAATTTTCTAAAACTAATTAATTTTATAATAACTCCTCATTAAAGTATTCAATCTAGCTTTCTAATAATAAATGCCTAGTATTGTTTTCATTTGTCTTGTAAATTATGTTTATTATAGCTGGCATTGTGATTTTCCTTAATTTTCTTGTTTGTTGACTTAGTTTGTATATTTTAGTTGAGAGATAATTGATAAAAGTACTAAACACGCTAGTAAAATAAATTTATTAGAGGTTTATGAAGATAGTTATAAACAGAGAATAACAGAAAATGCTTTATTCTAAAATATAGAGTTAATAAATTATATTCTACGATATATGCCAACATGCAGGCATATTTCCTGAAATATTTGTGCATATTACCGTGCATATTAATGTATGTGTGTATATATAAATATATATATGAAGAATATAGAGATTATGCAATTATTAACACTTGCCTTTCATTATATTATAGTCGTTCAAATTCATTTTTTAATATTTTCACTAAAAATATTATATATATATAACGTCTGATATGTAGCAATATTTAATTGTTTAAGGATCTTATAAATTAATGTTGTTCAAAATCATCTCAGTACTTTTTAGAATTAATCATTATATAGAGTAAATCATTAATAAATCTGGTGAAGTCAGTAACGTCTAACAAAATACCTACTCAGTATCGAATTTGACTCTCATTTGTGGACTTTCAAACAATTTATTTCAAATTTCAAATAGATATCTTTAAGACAAAGAATATTTTTAAAATACTAAATACGTTGTAACTAAAGTACATTTAATTTTTAATTTCAAGTCTTGTCATTCATTTATGATAAAAAAAATAATGAGCTGTATTCGCAAAGCAAAACAAAATAAGTGATTGTAAGATAACAAATAAATTAAGTAGAAGTATTTTGTTATCAAACATTTAATGAAATATTTCTAAATTATTCAGGAGAACTAGCAGTTCTCACAAACATTTTGATTAACAAATGCTTCTAAAACTTTGATTAATTCAGAATGAAATCAATAAAATGCATAATATATTTAACATAATGTATAACTAACTGAAGTTGAATAACGAATAACAATAAAATCATGGAAGAGATAGATTAAACATAAACTTCTTCTTCGGGGAGTTAAAAATTGCCTATTGTAAGTTTACTTAGTTGACTGAGAATGCATTTTAATTTTATTTCATATAATCAGTTTTACACCTGTCCTTAAATGAACAATAAGTATAACTGTATGATTAAAGAAAAAAAACTTTAAAAATACAAAATCTTGTACCAACGTCAGATATTTTGAGAATTAGCTTATGTTAATGTAACATGAATTTCTTTTTTAATATTACTTTGATAGTGTTGTAGCATAGTTCTCTAGCAAGTGGGTTTGGATGATCCTCGAGGTGGCTTTTGTAATTGTCTGAATATGTTCGTAACGTTTATTGTGTTCATGTCCGTTGTCTTTATGTATTCATCAATTAGGTACATTCTTTGTGGCATTTAAAATTTCTTTTAGTAATATATTTACCCATCTTTGATTTTTTATCACGTTTTATTTGGAAGCTGATTCCAAAAAATTGATATTTAGAAAAGTGCTAAGTAGACTCAAAATTATAAAACTTTATTGTAAATTTTATATAAAGAAAACGGCTAAAATGCATTTTTTTATATCAAAATAAAAAATCGTATGTATAATTTGATACGAGAAATGATATTCAACGTCAAGATTGAGAACCATGAACATATTTAATTCTAATTTTGTCTAGAAGGTTGAGAACCATGTAATTTTTCGATTGTCAATGTTGGCTAACATGGCAAAGCGGTACCCGGCAGAACGCTGAAGATGATTGTTCAGTAATGATAAAGGTTATGCAAAAATACGTTGTTAATTGTTAAACCGTTTTTAAGTTAGTTCAAGCATAATTTAACATAATATTATTAAAAGAAACATTGTACAAGCATTCGTAAGGTTGTTGCAAATTTAAGAATATGGTAAAGTGGTATTTTGACAAGAGTGTTAATATTGTGACTCATGTGCTGCCAGTTGGACCAAGTTGTTTTTAATCGTGGTTTGTGACGAAGTTACATATGTAATTAATTTTTAGTATTTATCAATAGTGGATATACATTCAGTTAAGTGTTAATAAAAGTTTGTGTTTTTGATAATAAAAGTGATATTACCATGCCTTATAGAAAATAATGCCGGTTGCAATTAGTTGTGTGTCACTGACAAGAAGGATGGCCATTACATGTCTTGCATAAGTGTCAAATTTAAAATGACTTGAGTTAAGGTAAGTTTTTTAAATCTTTTATCCATAATTCTAAATTTCAAGAAATACCATAGGGTTTGTTTTTATGCATTTGTACACAAAATGATAACGATTTTGCAGACGATAAATTATTATATTATCATATACATGCGTTGCATAACTGACAGATGATCATAAGAAGATCCCTTTCTCGACATTGTTGTACAATTATCGGAGTTATCGGTGATTGTGAAATTAGAAATACGTACAATAGCCGTAGAAATTTAACAGTACTCATTCTAGTCAATGTGCGTGTATGTATATGTATGTTTGTATGTTGTATATCAGTTACTATAGTGCGGCCGGGCTGGCAAAATTACACGGGCCTCTGGCCCAAGGGGGCTCCGGCCCAAGAGACTGCTCAGAAATGTTTATAACTTTTATACTGATTTGCCCCATTTTTTTCACATCGTTTTCTTAAGAATCTTTTCTGTAAACGTCGGTTTTAATCGATATCGATTATAATTATTTTTCTTCATTGCGATTCAATCTAAACAATATTTTTTTTATGAATACTCGAACCTAATTATAAGTGAAGGGGCTTATGGACATTACTGGGACAAATATAACGTGTAATTGTGCACGCTGAAAAAATTTGAGTTTATTAAATTTAAAACCTAGTACAACATGACGGTTTTTACTGAAAAGAATATTCCACGGACACCAGATGGATATTTTCTAAATATCTGCCTTTTGCTCGTAAAACAGCAGCGTATATTCTGGGCATCCTTTCAATCAATTTATGCAATAGTTCCGTCGTTATTTCATTCCAGCGATTCAGTAGGAACGTCCAAACCTGTTTCATATTAGTTGGTTGCAATTTTCTCTCTTGTCTGTCCAACTCAATCCATATATTTGAGTTCTTTCTGCTTCTTTTCGACTGATTGTGAGAAGGAATTTAGAAGTGTGCTAAGGATCATTATCTTACTGGAAAACCAATCCGCGACCCACAATTCTTTTCTCACATGGAAGTGGGAAAAGGGGTTTCTCAAGTGCCGTTGAAATTTTTTTTTATTTATTTTTCATAGCAAACTATACAAAGAACATTCAGCTATATATTATTACAGGTATATATTATTTGACTGCGTGAGAAGGATCGCTATCCTGCGATAGCACCTTCTTAGATGTTATGTGATATTTTGTAGTAAATCATTGCAGATTGCTTTTTGAGACGCTTTGGTGGTAAAAGCTTGAGCAGATCTAACGCTAATTCGTTTGGATGACGACTAAGACGAGTTTTGTATCTGGAGCAGTAAAGACTAATTTCTTCTTCTATTGTTCCAATTCTGAGATCTTGATGTATCAACCAATTGGGAACGTATTTTGGAGCGTTCACGATTTCTTTCAAAATTTTATTTTGGAACCTTTGTATAATAGTTATGTTTGAATTACTGGCCGCACCCCATAGTTGTAGGCCGTAGGACCATATTGGTTTAATAATTGTCTTGTATATTAGGAGTTTATTTTCTATTGTGACTTGTGATTTCCAGCCGATTAACCAATTAAGTTGCCTACGTGTTATGTTGTGGTAGACTTTTTTGTCCATCAATTTTCACAATGTCACCAACAATGCCCCCAGCAAATCATCACCAGACTAACACTGAACCTCTCCCTTACCGTAGCCAGGACCCAGTCTCCCCTATTTTATAAAAATCTACTTGAATTTTTTAATGGAAATATTAGTTTACTTTTTCTGATATTTTTTACTGTAAACTTATATTATAAGCTTATGATGAAGTGGCATAATAACCAGGTATGACTAATCTTGGTGCGTCTATAAACATACTGTAAAAATATTCAATATATTATTTTTTTGCATATTTTTTTTGTCAAGCAAAAAAATACATTTTTAATATATTAAATAAAAAAATTCTTGTGGGGTTTTCACATATTTTTTATTAAAAACAAACAACGTCTTAAACAGCTATTTATGAACAATATTTATTGTACGCAATTTTCATGTGCCATAATATAGCTAAAATGTTATTTTCCACCTATAGTTTTTGTAAACATCGCTCTTGAGAAGTTAATTTATGTGAAATATTTGGTACGATTACATATTCATTATTAATAATTAATATATAATATATTTTTCATTCATAGCATAAAAAGATATTTTTTATTTATGCAATTTTGTCAATACAAAAAGAACTATATTTGCAACTTAATTGATCAATTGATGGTTTTATTGAATCATATTGATATATATATATATATATATATATATATATATCAATTAGTAATTTTAATTTTACATTTCTCTGCTAAGCAATATTAAAGATCTGCACTTTTCACTACTTTTTAATTTTATTTTGCATACAGAAATTGGTTTGCAATGGCAGTGGTATTGAAATGTAGTTAATATTTTTACCCATGGATAGTTAATATATTATTTATAAAAATATTCAGTATTTTCTACATCGCAAGGCAGGTTATATTAACGCTAAGCTCAATGGGTTTTTGGACCTCAATTTATGAAATGAAATATTTTTTAGAAAGGTAATACAAATATTTGGTTAATTATAACTAAAAATTGTATAACACATTCATGATAACTAATAAATGATGAAAGCATAATTATGCAATTAAATAGTATAATTTTGATTCAGGATTAATGCAAAATCATGTTAATGATTATAACACCACATAATTTATGAATGTTTCTAAATAAATCATTATATTTATAAATGCTTAAAAACTATTCAGAAAACCTTAGGTTTTATTTAAATTCATTAAATACATTATAGATTATAAAATCACGCAAGTATATAAATAAATATATTCATTTTTATTTAAAAAGCTTAGCTCTATACAATATTCTATCTTATAATAATATTTAAAGAGTATTTTATGAAGTCACACATTGACGGTTAACATATATGGTAACTTAATTGATATGGCAAAGATGCCTGCATATGCATTTCTATTTTAATTCTAATCGGGTAATTGACATTAT